TATAGACACAGGACCGATTCTGATCGAGGATTAGATGAAAAAAAAAAAACATGCTAGATCGACCTAGATCGAGCAGATGATATAGCAGGGTAAGCGGCGCAGGGGATCTTGAGCTCAGCTTTCGCACGGCTTTTGGAATCGGCAGACGAGGAGACTGTAGGACGCCCATAGTCACTTTTGTTCTGCATGAGAACTACGCGCGTTGTCACAGGGCTCTTCATTAAGATAGATAGGAATAGCGTTGCTGCATTTTACATCTACAACAGAAATGAAAAAAAAAAAATAGTACAAAAAAAGTTAATATGGAACTACTTTTCCTATTAAATATTTTATAACAGTTTACTTTAAAGGAATATTTATAATATGTTCCGTTTAGGCACAGTAGCAGTCCGAGAGTCGGGAGTGTTTACATAGGGTGTGGGGAAATTCTGAAAATTTACAGTAAATATACTTACATATATATCATATATTATACAAACACACACGTGTATATATAAATGCATACACACACACACACACACACACACACACACACACACACACACACACACACACACACACACACACACACACACACACACACACACACACACACACACACACACACACACACACACACACACACATATATATATACTGTATATGCCCGATGACGAGCTGCAAGCTCATAAAAAAATATCGAGTGAGTAAAACTCGATTCGGTGATTCGCTATTTGCTTAAATGTTAGTTTTGTAAAATATTTAATATTCGTGAATTGTCATTTAACCCAATGTCGCCGGGAAAATTAATAAAAAATGGGAGAAAGGCTGTGCTCATTTTCTATTTTTTTTGTGAAATGTCTTTGCACATAGATGGCTCTGCTAGTGCTTAGCCTTACCTGATTTCACCTTTCCTTAAATTGGAAGAAGAAAAGGGAGTATGGAACTGGTAATTGGAGTGAGATGCATTTAAGTAGATCTATTTTTGGAATTTGGGAATAAATATACCGCTAATACTGTCTGTGATAATGATATAACAATATTCTATAACGATAGTAATAATAATGTAAATAATAATTATGTTAATCATGAAAAAATAATGATAATGATAATGAATATGATAATAAAAGTAATAGTAATAATATTAATATTATTGATAATAATAATGATAATGATAATAATAGTGACGATGACGACAAGTTACTAACAACTATAAGGATAATGACAGTGATGATTATAATAGTGGTGACAAAATAAGAATAAGAACAACAGCAGCAACATCAACAAAATAGCACATCAATAATAACAATAACAGCAGCAATATGATGATACAGTTGTATTGAAGCTACCAGTGATAGTTATAATTGTAATGATGACAAGAACACCAACACCAATCAATTGCAATCCAAAGTGATAATTAGAGTT